ACAATTTCTCTATGTTAGCTAGGTTTCTTTCATTTCATTTAGTTATAGTAGTTATTTAGTGGTACCTGGAGCTCATTTCTGTGGCACAACAGAATTGAAGGAAGTATAGAACAGATTTTCCAGTGCTAATGAAACCTTTAAAGCATATTGGAACATTGTGCTGCTGGATGCAAACTGAATTCCAGATATCAAGACAAAACACATAGAAAAATCTAGTTGTATGATAAAAAATAGGTAGATGGCTTTAAAGCTAACTGATTCTCCAGGAAGAAACAGAATGCTAAAAATTCTTTGGTTTCTTTCTGTATTATTATTTCATATATTTTCCTAAAAGTGGGCCAATGAACTATGTTTGTGAGATCCTTTCTTCCCCCTCATGAGCTGCATCACAAAATTGCTTTATTTTTTTTTCCTTTTCTCACATTCAGTCAGTCTCTGGTACTGTGGTGCCAAGGAAGGTTTATTAAGAAATAATAACATTTGTTTGATGGCCCTTAATGCCTTCTCTGTATTTAAATGTCAATTTATATTTCATAATATTATAAAAAAAAACCTCAAAGAACATGCTTAAGGCACTAATGGCCTAAATTGAGGCAATGTAATATTATTTAATATTAATGACCGTCCTTGCTGCTTTGTGTATATATATATTTAAATTTCCTGAAAATTACAGGGGCAAAAGAGATATTTGTTAAATATGAAATGTATACCTGTGTGTATCTCTATGAATAGATGTACACACATATTCATGTACACATATGTTTGTGTTTTAATGAGAAAAGCTCCTTTTCTTCCCCTAAATGCCCTGTTGCCTATTCTTTGTTCCCTATCAGAAAATGCATAATAGGAAGCAGATAGTCACACATGTGAACGCTCCCACTTTGGTGGGAAGTGAGAGGATTGGGGCAAAGGAATAGGAAAATTATTTGGTTTGAGTAGTTGCATAAGAGACTAGAGAGAAAGTGAACATCTAAAGATTCTCCAAAAGAAAGAGATCCATCATGACGCATCTCCCTAGTTATTTAAAACTTTCTCAAAACTGTTATCGGGCTATATTAAGTGTATAAACATGATTTTGTACCTGAAAGCTGTTCTCTCCCTATAGCCTTAGTAAAGGTTATTGTCAAAGTTGACAACTTTATGTGTTGTTTCTGCAAAGGAAATTAAATGAATACAATATGATCCCTCTGGCCTCAGGGTCAACAAATTAAATTTCAACTGTGGAAATTTCTAGTAATTTACTGTAGTTTACAAAATTATGTAGGAAGCAATTTTATATTTTAATATCCCATTTGAAGTGCTTATGATTTATTTTAATAGATTTTATTAATAGATTTTGTTTTTTTACATATCCTATATTTCTTTCTATTTACTTCCCTCACACCTTCTAACAGAATTCAGCAGAAAAAGAGGAATATGAAACAAAAATTGATTAAAACCAATCAAGACATCAAAAAAATCTTATTTTACATGTGATGCTCCTTGCCTGACAATACCAGCCTCTGCAAAGGAGCAGAATGGACTGTCTTCTTATATCTCTTCTTTGGGGCCAAACTTGTTATTTTTGAATTATATTTTGAATTTTGCAAATTCAACTTTCTTGTGTAGTGGTTGTTGTACCCCATTTACATTTTTTGTAGGCATTGTGTTTTCCTTAAATCACTTTACATCATTATTTTTGAGGTGCATAGAATACATTATGCTTTGTATTACTGGATTCATTCATGTGTATCAATATGACAAAGACCCATGCTTTTCTTGGTATAGAAATTCTAAGTAGGGAAGCTTTGGAGAGCAGCCTGAGGCTCAAGTGTTTCTAGTTTTTTTGCTAATTTAAAAAGAGCTTCTGTAAATATGTTGAAGAAAATAACTTTTTCTTCACATTATTCCAAATTGCTTTCCAGTATAGTTAAAGTTCCATTCATACTACTCAACCAACAAAGCATTGGTATGCCATCTTCCCATAACTCCTCTAACATTGACTATTTCCATTCTGCTCTTTGCATATTTCCTGTTTGTGAGAAAACTTCAGGGTGGTTTAAAGGCTCTTTCTAAATTAATTGTATTTTTTGCATTGGGTTCTCTTATAGAGAAGAGTTCTGTTATACAAAAAAAGATGATATAAGTATTACATATGTGAACTTAATGTATTACATCTTTTAAAATATTAACATTGTTGTTCAAAGGGTTAATAATAATGGCTGTACCCAAAATACCTTACAAATGAAAAGGAAAGTGAAAATATTGCACCAGAAATTGTGGTACTCTATTTTCCTGACTCATTTCACATCAGAACATAATTTATTTGTAGTAGAGCATACATAATAATTCATACAAATTTGGCAATTTGTATTAGATGTTTACTCACCTTAAGCTACCAGCAGACTCATTAAAATGAAGGTAATTATTTTCCTTTTATCATACATTCCCCACCACTTGAAGTTACTGGCATCTTTCCAGACATCATGTCTGGTAATATTAGTTCAGCTAATTGCCATGCCCTTGAACAGGAAGAGATCAATTGTATATAAGGATATGGAAAAAAATCTTCTGTTCTTTTTAGCAATGGAGGCTTACCTTGATTTTCATTGGTAAATGTACTTTTTCATCACTCAGCTAATATCTGATAAAATATGAGCAAATTAGCAGAAAATGAGTGGGTTGATCATTGTCTTCCACTGTTAATAATATATTTATTCAACTAATGACTGGGGTTCTAAATAATAAAAACAAATAACCCACAATTTTTACAGTGTTTCTTTTTTCTCTCTCTCACATATTATACCCATGTTCCAGATAAGAAACTGAGATACAAAGAGTTTTAAGAGACTTGTACAGTGTTACAGAGCCAGTGACTAGTGGTTATAAAGTCATCCCTTTTATTATTACTGAATGATTCATGTAAAATATAATATTGAACATTAATATGATCAATTAAATACATTTATTACTGATTTTTACAAAAAAATTCATTATGTAAAGTATAACTTTTCATTCCCTCTAAGTCTCTGAGGATTCTTTATCCATGCAATTTAATGTAGTCATAGTTGGTATATACTGTGTTCTGATTTTTATGCTTTGCATGATTTCCCAAATCTCTTCTCAGATTTACTTGTATTTCTCAGGCTTTATCTAAATAGTTTTATAGTATTCTATCAGTGCACTATGATTTATTTTAACAGTTCACTACTTTTTTTTCAATTTCATGTGATCTTGCTATAAAAATCTTTGAATGGGTAGCTATTTCTTTTCAATAACATTTTCAGATTATATTGTACTCAATGAAATTGAACTAAGAGGTAAAAGGGTATGGCTACTTTAGTAACTTTTTCCAGTGTGCTGGTATATTATTCTCCAAAAATTTCCTCAAAGTTTGCAATTCTCTCAGCCGTGAATTAGTCTACATGTCTCTCCGTAATTCCACCAATGAGTTTCATTGGTATTGATTATTTTTGCCAATTTGGTGGTTGTAAAATGACAGCTCAACATGGTTTTAATTTGCCTCTCATTATTAGTGAGGTTGAGTGTTTTTCAAGTGACCATTAACAATTTATGTTCTGTCTTTAGAAAACTGTCTGTGTTTACAAGATCTGCTGACACCAAGTCCATTTTTCTTTCCACTATAACCAACTAAAAATGTTTCTATAAATCTTCTGATTAATGTTAAATTTTGGATAATTAAAACTATAATATGTAGAGTAAGGGAAGCCAGGAATTCTAAATAGTCATTAAAAACTAAATGATATCACATTGTGGACCTAAAATTTCTGGAGGATTTGAATGCCCAAAGAGGGTTATGACATTCGAGGGCCTAGTATGATGGATTTATTGAGGAAGTGAGTGTGGTGTGCTTGAAGGAGAATCAGGAACCCAACCTAAGTGAACCAGTGGGTACCTTTTGGGAAGGAGTTGAAGATGATATCTGATAGAGGGGATGGAATCAGATTAGAGGTGGCTGGGAATGTTGAAATGCAAAGTTAATTCTCTGTAGGTAGAGCCATTCAAGAGTTTTGACCTGGGGAATGGCATGAAGGAAATGATTACATAATACTGTGGATTATTTAAATTTTTATGAAAGAAATATTTTGAAAAGATTAAAATTTATTTTTAAGTACCTGCTAATAATTTAAAATCATCAAACACGCCCTGAAGAACATCTTTTGTATTTGATGGGCTATGTGCTAATGTTCAGTTGCCTGAATGTTTTACTCCAGAATCTCTCAAACATCTCTCTTTCCTTTCTTCTTCTACCATTTATGAATAGGCAAAAATAGGTGAGTTTGGTTGGAGCATGGAAGCTCTCTGTGAATTTTTAATAATTATATCGAAAGCCAAAATATTGACTCTCCATGAAGAGATGCAGTGACCACACCACCTCTACCTCTCCATAATTTAGTGGTCTATTCTCATAGTGCCTTAGAAGTTTTCCTTTGTTGGTTTCCTTTGATTGATTGATCTTTGGTTGAACAATTATTGGATATCTTAATGTTTCACTTTCTGAAAGAGTGTTAGGAAAATATTTCAGTGAAAGCACAATGGAATATTTTCATAGGCTGTATGTACTTTTTAAACTCTGGTGAAACTATTTGTGGGTCATTTGGCATCCAAATGTTATGCCTTTAAAGAACTCCATCCAGGCTTTTGAAATGTATTTATTCAATAATTTGTCTGCAAAAGAATTCTAATAGTTTCTAGGAGAAATCAAAGGGAGATTCATTGTATACCTAAGAAATTCAAATGATCCAAATTATATTTTCAATAATTTTATTTTGTTTATTGAACTAAGAACAGTAAAAAAAAACAGTAAGAATGTTCAGTTGCATAAATAAAGAAGATCTGATCTCATTCTAGAATCAGTACCACTGAAAATATTTTGTGGGAAATGTTTAGAAGCAGCAAAATTCAATATTTTACAGTTCAAATTTTTTAAAACTCTCGAAATGAAACACAAACTTAGGAAAGTTGAAAGCTTCCAACCAATAAATCTACTGTTCTTGTAGCCTCTACTGATGACAGTGCTGCAGAGAAAAAAGATGGAGCTCTCCATGCTGGTCTGATCGTTGGAATCCTCATCCTTGTCCTCATCATAGCAACAGCCATCCTTGTGACAGTCTACATGTACAACCATCCAACATCAGCAGCCAGCATATTCTTCATTGAGGTGAGTAGAGGTCCTTGAGTACAACATTAGTTCTTTGACTTAATTCCAGTGTATGATCTTACCATCTGTTCATGTACTACTGAGCAGACATTTTACATTTGAGAGTAGTCAGAATTCATAAAAAATGGCTGATAAGCTGCCTTCATTCACAAACTCTGTTCCCTTTATCTTGGAATGTTTTATGGACTCAAACTACCTCTACTTTTGTAGATCTAAGGAAAATTGGGACCATATTTGTCTGCCCTGTTGTAAAATGCATGGTAACCAGCTGTTCTCCATCTCCAAGGTGGAAATGAGTAAAAACTCCAGCATGAGGGATACAGGAAATATCAATTCATCAATATATGTTTTTTGGTTGTTGGGTTGTTTTTTTTTTTTTGCCTTCTATGGGCAAAGCAATTATTAGGTGTTGTGTATGGAGAGTAGAGAGGGGGTATGATGAGGTAGAAAACATCCTTTCCTTTAAGGAATATTATGTAGATAGGTAAATTTTTATATTATGTATATGTATATATGTACATATATATATACACACACATACAGAGAGAAAGACTATATAAATAAGTTTAAATGTATTAACTATATCTGTAGCATTTATGGCATATTTGTGAACATGTTAGTTATTTTTGTGTAGATAAATCTGTATGTATAGATTAGACAGATGGTAGGTAAAATAAATATGTATACATATGAAGACTATGCCAGCAAAGACTTCCTCAGTGCTTCATCTATATCTATATTATTCATTTGGAATAGATCATTCTTCCATGCTTTCAAGAATCTTTATTTTCCTTAGCATGGGGACTTCCTACATTGGAGCAAATCTCTACAATAATTCTATGACTTTGAGTTCATTTGACTGAAAAATTCATCATTCTATAACAAATCTAGTGATGAGTTTCCCAGATTGGTTAACCTGCTCCTCAGACCATCTGAATGGTATGGAAGTCTTTCCTATCATCAAGTATTTTAAGTGCCTACTATGTGCCTAGCACTGGGGATAACAATGCATAGAGAAAAATACATTTAACTAATTTATCAAATAAACAACAATTGTATCCAAAAGTCTTAAATTTTAAGATATTTTCATATGTTTAGAATTTTTTCTTAGGAGATTGAACTCAAAAGCATCTCATGGTCCCTTTTAATGCTTTGTTATGTTAGAGACACATTTGGTTTTCTTGTCATACAAATCATAACTTTAAAATACAATAATGTGCTAGCCATTAGAAAATTTCTTTGTTCTGCCAATTGTGTACATAATGGTGGGAAAAGCAACTTCATAAGTACCAGAATAAATATTCCCCAATCTCAGAAAACTTCCAGTTAGGTATTTTCCATAAATGGCGTTCTTAGAAAATGTGATGGTAATTGGGAAATTTGTTTGGCAAGCAGTTATTAATTTTTGTTAATGTGCTTTCTTTTTGTGGGTATAAGTAGAAAATGTTCATGTTTACCAATGTTGTTTATGCATTCTATAAAGGGCTGACATATATGCAAAGACTCAGAGATCAGCCAGATGTCTAGCTATTGGTCCTATATAATCCTTTATATCATCCAGCACTTTCTGATACCACACCGATTGCTTCCTAACATTATGAACCAAGGGTTATGTCTCACATTAACCAAGTGCAACTATTACCTGTCTGGTTTTTCAACAGTTTAATCTAGCGTTGTATTATGACAAAAACACTTAACTCCTTTTTTTTTCCTGTGATTACAATATTGTCTTCTGTGTTAATGGTTAGAATTGACATTTTGCAAAAAATAAAGGTCTCATTTACTGTAAAGCATATGATTTACCAACAGTCTTAGCCCTAGAGTAATCACAACTGTGATGAAAGCATTTATCCTCTACTCTCCCACTCACAAAACCCAAGGGTGAGGATTTATAATAGTCATTCAGTTACTTTAGGGTCTAATCCTTTTGGTTAGTCACATCATTGACATTAATAGTTATTCTCACACTAAAAAATTCCCCTTGAAAAAATGTTTCACTGGAATGCGGATGATTCATTCTATACCTGATCATGAGGTAAATTACTATACTTCTGTTGGTGATGATCACCGGTAGAAATCTCTAATGTAAACCAACATCAAGCATAGTCCTTCATTGTTGCTAGTTAGATTTGGAAATAAACATAAACCTAGTAGAATGTCTTATCCAGGTTTGGTCCTTTATTTTAGAAAGGGTGTGGAAAAATGAGAAAGTTTCCAGTAAAGAACAAGAAAAATATTAATGTAGAAAATTGGTCATATGAGGAAAAGAAAAGGTTGGATGAGTTATGGTTGCTTATTTAAAAAATGCTCATGATTATTCTATTTTTCCTCAAAAGAACAAACAAGAAATTGAAAGAGTACAGTTACATGAAAGTGCTTTTTGCCTCTCATAAGAGAGTTGTTTTTTCTGTAATCATAATAATGATTATTATTTTCCTTAAACCATTAGTATGCAGAAAAATGTATATAAGCCAAAGAAGTGTATAGCTCCTGAAATTCAGATAGTAATATTTGAACTCCTATATACATAAAAGATTTGGGTGTACAACATAATCTAGAGAGTCTTCTGTCATGGTGATGAAGGTATTAAGCTATTGGTTCCATCTTCTACTTTCTTCTCTCTCTTTAACCTTAGGTAAAGACAGTGAGGCAACAACAAATCAATAATGCATCAGTGGGGGGAAAACCGTAAGGAAAATGGAGCCTATTAGGATAGGGGCAGAGTTGACATCAAGGGGGGGTAAGCCAGTGATAGCATCAAAATAGCATGTCAGAAAAATAGAAGAGTTAGGATAGTGATTTCCTACTCCAAGAGAATTTTGAGAAGGAAGGGATGAGCAAAAGTTTCAATGTTTCTAAGAGGTCAAGATAATGTGGTGCCTTTGGTAAAGTACCAGGCTGTCAATGGTGACTTGGTGGGGGGGAGGGCAGTGTGGAGAGTTTTAGTAGGGTAAAATAAAAGCCATATTACAGGGGATAAAGCAGATAATGGGTGATGAGAAAATGTAATCAAAACCTATAACATTAGAGCATATGCATTCCAGATGTTTTTGGAAATAGGTACAAGGGAAAAATCAATAGAGGGAATACCTATAGTCATGTCAGAAGGAAGAGGGGAAGGAATAAGTAAGAATATAATGATAAAATACATATAGAAGCAAAATCTTTCTTCATAATTGAGGAAGGAAAGGGATCCAAGGCACTGGGGGATGGCGGTAGCATTTCAGCAAAGGAGGAGGCAAACAGTGCCAAAGAGGAGAGCATGAACAGCGTTTTGGAAAACATCTAGATGAGAGCTGAATGATGATATATAGTCAGCTTAGTGCTGCAGAACTCGGGTGGGAAGGGATTTCAGAGGCCTTCTAATCTAACTCCTTCATTTCCAGATGATTAAGGCCCAGGACTTGTCCAAGGTCATCTCTTGGGGTTTAAAAAAAAAAGGATGTTCTCAGAGTCAGTAGGGCAAAAAGTTTCTGACATCAAGAGGTCAAGTTTGCAATGAATTTCAGGTACTAGATTGCATTTTTTTCTTTAGGAAAAAGGGTTATTCTTTGTTGTTTCTTCACAAACTTTTCATATACTAGCAAAAAAATGCAGCATATCATCCTTGACAGAAAAAAAATAAATCTTATTTACTTCCATTGAAAAGTTCCTCAAAAAGCACTTGCTCTAGAAATAGAGGACGTGGGATCAAATGCCCCTTAGTGGCCTCAGTTTTCTTACCTATAAAATGAGGGGATTGAACTAGAGATCCCTTTGAACTCTAGAATACTAACAGAAGTGTCCATCCACAATATATCCTTTAAAAGAAACAGAAGGAGTAGTTCTGAATTTTTTAAAATGTGCATCCTGACTTTTACAGGAGGCTTAATATTTTTGCTCTTCTCTGGTCCTCACCGCTAAAAGTTCTGATGCTTATGTACAAGACCTTACTATGTCAGACACTAGCGGTGGTATCCACCATTTGGGGTAATTAAAATAGATAAAATAGACTTTTGTTTGGCCAGTTTGTCATACATGTGAAGGTTGTTTCCTCTCCCTAATTGGACTAAACACAACTGTGACTAACTAGGACCGGTGAATAATGAGCTTGAGCCAATTGTGATCCTTGAGTTTTCCTAGTGGCTGGAGACAAAGGGCCCCCAGATGGAGAACCACATACCTAAATGCAGCTGTTGGATTAGGGGGGGCAGGGTGGAAATGAATGATGATGAGAGCTTGACCTCTTATTTTTTTCAGCTGTTAGATTGACTTCTTTTAAGGGATTATAAAGGAGAGGTATATGCTACCTTTACAATAAATGTAGAAGGGTAAGTTAACAGTAGCTAAGAATCACTCTTCTTTTCCTTACTTTAAATGCCATGTCATTCGTTCTGAAAGTTCAGAGGGAAATGAATCCTGATTATTATTTTTTTTTTAATTTCTTAGGGAAAGCAAAGGAGGGCTCAGTGGTGATAAATTACTACAAGAAAGGAAAAAGATCAAGAGAACTATAATGAGAAGGGGTCAGCTTCAATCCCTTGAACTACATTATTAGATGACAGCTTTGTAGAAATACAAATAGAAACATAGGAAAATGGATTGAAATGAGATTTTTGCCAGCTTATATATGAACTATTTCCAATATTGTCTTACTGGGGCCTTTCTGGTTTGCTCAGGCATTTCAGTGAAAGTGACTGTTATCAATCTCAATATGAATAGAGATAGATAGATATATAACTATCTATCTGTGTGCAAAATCTCCAGAATAACAGTATTCTTATGGAAAGACTATTTTAATTTAAATGACCATTATCAGAAGAATTTTCCTAATGAAGTGCAATATTTTTTCTCCCACTTACTGGGAATAATCATTAGGAATAACAAGCCTTTTACTCCACTAAGTTCTCTGCTCTATTTCCTTCCCAAGTAATCACATGAAGTTTATTATTTTTAAATGACTCAGAACTAGGGACTTAATGGATTAGGGGGAATAGTTCTGAGGTTCAAAAAGGGGAAAA